AAGAAGAAGATAGAAAATTCAACACTCCTATCAACTCTGATGACGACTTTATGGATTCACATGGATATACCCCTGTTACAAGTTATACTCCTAAAAATGAAGATATGGAGATAAATCTCCAAGACAACAATAATTTTGAATTAGATGATTTGATCTACAGGTAGCCGGATAAAGACAGCCTTAAAGAAGTGACGCACACAATGACATCACCACGAAAATATTGAGATAAGTGACGTAAGTCATAACGTCACAAACATTGATGATGACGCATATAATGACCTTAGTAAATATATTTAAAGTTGTGAATAGTAAATATTTTTTATGTTTTGAAATCCGAATTTCATATCTGGTCTCTATATATAGAGGTGCAGAGCTAGAATGTTTGACACACCTTTCTCATATCACTTATCTCTTTCTTAAGACACTCTCTACCTTCTTGTAAATCTCCTTTTATCCTCTTCAGTTCTCTCCACTTTCTCTGTAAGTAAAGCTTGTAAATTTATATTTTATATTAAATAAAAGTTTTCGCTAGCTCTCGCTTAGTATTCCAATGATCCTAAGTATTATTGGTATTAGAGCCAAGTAATGGTAGTTTAAAGCTATTCTGTTGATATATATGTTGATCTATTACTAATTCTTGTTGCTTATATAATTGTGATTTAATATATATATATATATATATATATATATATATATATATATATATATATATATATATATATATATATATATATATTAGAGCAGTTATGATTTTGATGTGTTTCATATAGTTTAAACTTAAAATAGTTGTTATTGTATTTGTTCAACAATTATGATGGATTGATGTTCATGTATTGAATTTTTTTGTGTTTTATTGTAACTATTTTAGGTTTTAGTGTTATTGGTTTCTTGTGTTGTTAAATTGGTGCATATTACTTAATTGAATTGTTAAAATGATCCAAAAATTAATAACTACAAAATATGTGACGTCCCAAAAAATAAAACGGGGTTCATTTATTAACCGTTGACCATCTGTCAACCCGCGAAAGTACCCGTGTTTGTCGTGAACTTGGCATCACGTCTATAACATCCCCTTAATCGGGATTATAACCCACACGTGTAACCCGTATATATTTTATCATTTAATCTAATCGTGGCCCAATGTATCACATTTCATGCTCCATTATAGTTCATTTATATTTTGAGAAATAAAGAATCCATAGCCCAAAAGCTTGGCAAATAAATTTTAAAATTTCAAAATTTTGGAAAGTGTCCGATACGGCGAGCCTTCTGGAAAATCCATACCGATACGCTTTGCCTTCTAGACCAGGCTGTACAGGTACGATTAGCCCACTAGAAAATCAGTACCAGTACAGGTAACCCACTCGACCTCGTTGTACTGGTACTCTTTGCCCACTTTTGCCTATTTCACCTACTTTTCATTTTCAACTCATTCTTGAGCATATTAACTCCATCCAATTCATGTATAAGGAAGTTTTTCATGTAATACAAGGTTCATATAAGTTCTATTACATTCAATTCAATGTTTTTACGTACTAAACTAGAAATTTCATAGTTGTTTTACAAAACTCAAAATAAAGCCACATTCTGGCTTTCTTCACCCTTGGGGTCCCGTGTGAGGGCCTTCCACCGTTATATATCCCGCACCTGAAATATTTTCTCATAAAGGGTGAGTCATGCCCAGTAGAGTATTTTTTACCGAGGCTATTCCCCAACTTAAGTGCATATGAATGTTCATGCAACACTTTACAACCAACAATATCCCAACCAAGAATATAGTATTCAATGTTGGAATTTTAGCAAAATCATGTCATGAAATGAGATGAGACTCAATCATTCAACTCAACCCGAGCCTTCCCTAGCTCCTTTTCTGCCATGCAATGCCATGGGTATAAAAACCGTCTTTCCAAGCCCAGTCATTGACGCTACACACCCAATGACTATTTAAAAATCTCCGGATCTTTCTTGGGGTGGATATTTATGGACTTACACCAATGCCACCCAACCGACACGGAATTCATGGACCTCCACCAACGGTTCTGCGTACATCGACACACTTTATGAGCTCTTATACCAACAGAGTGCGTATTCGATCACCAGGTCTCTCACCTGAGGGGTAATCTAGCACTTCTTACTAACTTCGACCCAATTCTTTATCCATATCACCGTGCAACTCCGTTGGATTTTTGATCCATCTTTTTCGAGCCCACCCATCATCCACCTATTTGGTGTTTGAGATCAACTATGCACACACACACCCACACTCACGGCTATGGATGCGATTCCTCCATGCAAATGCAATGAAATGCACCATTGCTTAATTCATGTCATGCCCGTATGTAATGAATGTCATATGAGTAAGTTTAACCTCATATATATACATGTTCCATGACTAATTATATCATATGCATATAATCACCAAACTTTATCACAATGTCAATATATCAATGAACATATATTAACATTTCATTTCCAACAATAATTCGCAAGCATGTTATTACATAACATATGCTTATAACACACTTAATTCTCAAGCATAAAAAAAACACATAACATGCTCACGTAATACTTAATTTCCATGAATCACATTGAGTCAAATTCACATACCCAATTCAAGATAAAATTTACTTTATCCAATTTCAATACCCATTTTATTAAATTCACCATATTAGGTAAGTGATATAGCATCCTACAAACATACCCATTTCATATAAGCATCCTAGGTTGTTAATAAACCTAAGTAGTAGGGAACCCTACTTCTTGAAGTGTAAAAAGCTTTCAAGAACCTAAAAACGAGCTAGAATCTCTAGCTTCCAAAAATTCTATTCCTTGATTTTTGGTAAAAACCCGTGCTTTTTGGTATAGTCGCCTAGCCCTTGTCGAGAAGATCGACTTTTGTTCTTGGGCCATGCTGATTTGAGCACCGTAGGGCCGTAGATCGTAGAGAGAAGTAAAGAAGCTCTATCCTTTCCCTCTCTTCTTCTCTATTCGGTGAACAACTGATGAATAGGGGGAGAAATCATATTTTTCTCCTATTTATACCCCTTATTTACTTGGCTCATAACGCGCCACACGACCCTCTTTTTTCCAAACATTCGTTTTCGCTCCGAAACGATTAAATTTCGTCTCGGTTTAAGTTTAAAATATTTTTATTTTAACTTTCCTCAATTTATTTTTTAACTTTCAAAATTTTGTTAAAAATCCCTTTTTTGGATCACCTAAGATTCGACCGTTTCGTAAAACGTGAAAAATTCAACTATCTCGAAATTCGACGAAATCTGATAGGGTAACTAGATTCCACGAGATGAATCCAGAGGTGAGGTCTATTTTGTCATCTGGGTTCTAGAAAATTTCAGGTTTACAACCTGTACTGTAGTAATAAATTATCATTTTGCCCTTTTTTCATAAAAATTTTAAATTTACCCAGGTTTTACAAAAAGCTTTCACCCGACTTCCTACCCGATTAATTTGGAAAAAATTCGGGTAAGAATAATACATTTGATCAGATAGGGTAAACCAAGAAAAAAAAATTCTGCAAAGTATGAAGTAAGAAGATGAAAGACTATTTTTCCTACTCATAGGGTAGGGTGAACACCCCTATGGAAGGGGATCCTTTGGATTTTCTAATGAACTATGATAGGGGAAATCAAAGGGAGATAGAGGAGAGAGAAAATTTAAAGGAGATATTGGGATTCTAATTGAGCCATTTTTTTTTTAATTTGGAGAGATTTTAAAAAGATGAGATTGGAGGGTTGAATTGGAAAAAAGATATGAGGGATAGACAGAATTTAACAAATGAGATATGGAAAGAGAGACAAAAGAGATTTGGGTAATAAAGAGAATAGATAGATTTTAGGTGTGATTGAGGTAAGTAAAAATAGAAAGTTTTAGGCAGGAAAAAATATTTTAAGACTGATTTTGGTTCATCTGATTGAAAATTATGAAATGATCTGAGTCATTTTTTACTTTGAGGTAATATAGTCGGTCATATATGTCTTTATTTTGTCTTAAAACAATCTGGACTTCTCTTTGTTTCTAAAATTTAAACTTCCATGTCCTTTATTATATATATATAACTAAACAGTCCTAATCTATATATGTGTATAAATAGACATGAGTGAGAAATAATTATAATGTTAGTAAAACTCTTAAAATTTAGGAGTTATTAGTTTTTAAATTTATTTTTACTAAATATAAGTATCAGATATATTTTGGACAATGCAAATTAAAATTAACTTATTCTCAAATAAGTTTTTTGAGTAGACTTAAATCCAACAAGTCCAAAAAAAGGGACCGGGCCCCAAATTATAATAAAAAAAATATATATTTATTTCAACTTACCAAAAAAAAATCAATTTTTCCCACTTTCTATCTCTCTTATCAAGCACAAAAGAGAAAATGAAAGATTTCTTTCTTTAAAAATAAAAAATATATCACTCTTATTTCCCGTTTTTTCATTTTTTTAGTCACCCTAGCAAACGGACCATAAAAGTTTCGGTTAAACAAAAAAAGATAAGATAAATTTTACTCCTTAAAAGATTTAAAAAAATTACTATTTACATCCTCAAAGATTAGTATTGTAACCCTTCTAATAGTTTTTGTTACTTATTTCTTTAATATCAGTGGAGTAATTTTTAACATAATAAGTAATGAAAGTTAACAAAATGTTATATTATAACACTTATAATATATTGAGAATGTAATATAAAAAATTTAATATTTGAGGATATAAAATAAAAAATATTAAATTGGGGTACAAAGTAAAAATCCAAAAAAAAATAAATAAAAACAAACCTGTTTAGAATCAAACACATTCCTTCCGTGACCAGTTTTGGTGGTGCCAAAATTAAGCAAGCGAAAGGGCAAATTACTCCTCTCCCCCCCAAAAACCAAGAAGAAACCGTTTGTCAAGCAGGGCATTTTCGTAAATCCATATACTTGTCGGAACGAAATATTCGTTGAGGCGTCACCATTCGAACACGTCTCAACACATTGCACTCAACGAAATGTACCTAGTTTTCTACTGTTTTTCGTCGTCCTCGTCTCGTCAGCGGTGTGGCAACGGCGGCCATTGCAATTACATGAACTTCACAGAACTCAAACCCACAAATTCAAGTCTCTAACCCCACCTTCCCTTTCAAATCGCACTCTACAATCATGGGCCACTGACACTTACAGCATCTTCAGTCTTGACTCTGTTTTCAGTTCTCATGGTTTCTTCGTCTTCCCTCTTACACCCATCCATTTGGCCAAGAAGAAGATCAGAAAAAGAAACTAAAGGGAAATAGACGTCTGAATTTTCTACCAAAAATTGCAATTTCTTCCCAAGTAAGCTGTTTTCTATAGGTTTCTTTGCCTTTCTTGACAACCAAACGGGGCTTATTCTATTAAAACTTTAAGCTGTTTTTTCTTTGAAACTTGCAATTCTTGAAAATGGCCTCAACCTATGGAGTTGCTGCTTTGACCCGATTGGGTTTGGCTTATTCTTGTTCTTCCTCACGGGATAAATTTCTTGTTCCTCAATGTTGCGGGGAATTAACTATTCAATCTTGTTCTAGGGTTTCAAATGCGATTTCCAGACAAAATCGTGAGTTTATAATCCCCAGTCGAAGTAAAATTCGAGAATTTAGATTGTTCAATTCGGTTGAGTTGGATAGGTTTGTAACTAGTGATGATGAAAATGAAATGAGCGACGAATTTTTCGAAGCAATCGAGGAATTGGAACGAATGACTAGAGAGCCCTCGGATGTGCTTGAGGAAATGAATGACCGGTTATCGGTCCGCGAATTCCAACTAGTGTTGGTGTACTTTTCTCAAGAAGGGAGGGATTCTTGGTGTGCATTGGAGGTGTTTGAGTGGCTCAAAAAGGAGAATAGGGTGGATAAGGAGACAATGGAGCTTATGGTTTCTTTAATGTGTGGGTGGGTTAAGAAGTTGATTGAGAGTGAACATGATGCTGGGGATGTGGTGGATTTGCTGGTGGACATGGATTGTGTTGGCTTGAAGCCGAGTTTTAGTATGATAGAGAAGGTCATATCTTTGTATTGGGAGATGGGTGAGAAGGAGAGGGCGGTTTCCTTTGTGAAGGAGGTTTTGCGGAGGGGACTTGTGTTTTCATATGGAGATAGTGAAGGTCATAAGGGAGGTCCAACAGGGTATCTTGCTTGGAAGATGATGGTAAGGCTCCCAGAACAATAATCATAAATTTCATGTTTATGCTATTCATTCACTTCTTTTATGGTGGAGAAAATTTTTCAATGTCAAGTTCCTTGTCAATGTGTTGTTGATCTTTATAATAGCCTAATCATACATTTCATGTAAATGGATTAATATCTATGTTAGATGGCATTCAGCTAATGATTAGTTATTCTCCTCATTGGCATGCGATAGTTTCTTCTTCAATGTACTGTTATGTTGGAATTTCTATGGCTTCTGCACAGACACAAACATAGTTTTGTGGACAACATTATTGGGAAAGTTTTGTATTTGTTATGTTAGGGACAAGCTACAATACATTGTAAAAGTCATAAGCTAAAATTATTGTTTGTAGGGTTTTGAGTGTTGAAAGCTGGCGTGTTTGTGCTACTTGATTTGTCGAGCGGTGCTTCTTCCTCTTGCAATTAGTATAGATAATTCATAAGGGAACATTTTTTCTTTAATTGGTTATGATGCTTGTCATTTTTTTCTGACAACCAAGAACCTCACAGGGTTGCAAGCCATCAATAAAGGTTCTGTTCACTTTTAATTCATAGGATGAATGTTTATGAAATTCTCCCAACCATGCACCTTTTGTACTCGTGGCTGCAACGTAAACTTGGGATTTGCTTGTACATTCATTTGAGTTTACATATCATACCTTGCAGTTTCATTATTTTTGGTTTTTAATTATAGTGTGGTAGTTTGTAGTTCCCTTTAGTTTTCTGTCTAATGGTGAAGACTGCTTAAAATGTGTTCAATCAGGTGGAAGGGAACTACAAGGATGCAGTCAAATTAGTGATTCACCTTAGAGAATCTGGGCTGAAGCCAGAGGTCTATAGCTATCTAATCGCAATGACAGCTGTTGTTAAAGAGCTGAATGAATTTGCAAAAGCTTTAAGGAAGTTGAAGGGTTTCACCAAGGCTGATTTGGTAGCGGAACTGGATGCAGAAAATGTTGAGCTTATTGAAGAGTATCAGTCAGAACTTTTGGCTGATGGAGTCTGCTTGTCCAGTTGGGCAATTCAAGAGGGAGGCCCATCATTTTATGGGGTGGTTCATGAGAGGCTTCTTGCTATGTATATCTGTGCTGGTTATGGACTTGAGGCTGAAAGACAGCTATGGGAAATGAAGCTCGTGGGTAAGGAGGCTGATGGAGATCTTTATGACATTGTTCTAGCCATATGTGCTTCCCAAAAGGAGGCTGGCTCTATTTCACGACTGCTTACGAGATTGGAGGTTACTAGTGCATTGCGCAAAAAGAAAACCTTATCATGGTTGTTGAGAGGTTACATCAAAGGTGGCCATTTTGACGATGCAACAGAAACAGTAATCAAAATGCTCGACTTCGGTTTCTCTCCAGAGTTTCTTGATAGGGCAGCTGTGCTTCAGGGACTAAGAAAAAGAATCCAACAACCAGGAAAAATCAAAACTTATCTGAAACTTTGCAAGCGCCTCTCTGATGCAAACCTGGTTGGACCTTGCCTCGTATACCTATATATGAAGAAATATAAGCTGTGGATAGTAAAAATGCTCTGAATGTAACGAATGAGAAGCTATGAGGTGGACTTCTTTTATAACCACAGGGGTCAAGATGACCAGATCTTATTGCAAAACTGTCATTTTTCTGGCAACTTATATGTGTACATTGTGTATAATCTTGGATAGCTTGAGAGCAGTACAATGATGTTGGGTGGACCATTTCCTTGAGGCAGACTACTTGAAAGTTTAGATGTGCGTTTGTGAGCATCTTGTTCTCAAGTCCAAATATGTATATATTGTTGAATCTGAGATCATAGTTGAGAACTTTCATGACAATGTTACTAGAAAGACTGCACATTCTCATGTATGTTCATGTGGCAATAGAACAACTCCTTTGCTCTGCTCGGCCTGGTTTTACTGAGCTCCATTTCACTATGCTTTGCCCAATGACACATTGTTTTTTTGTCCTAGTGAGTATGAGTCGTCCACTATTTTTGACCCTTCATTCATCATCCATTATGAATTTGCCAATTTAGGAAACCATGAAATTTATCCACCAGGTATTTGACTTAGTACCATCCGAAACAATAGTACAGGCAAACATTTGAGAAACTCATCATTTTATTCTTTGTGTAAGTATATATATTATCACAGGATGGAAATTCCACATCCTTGTCAATGGAAAATGAAAAAACATCATCCAACAGATCATCCCTCTCTCGGTTATATACAACTATCCTTCCTTTACCCAAAATTAAAAACAAACATCTCATTCGGCTTAAAAAATGAAAAAATGAAAAAAATAAAACTAAACCCCTTACTTGGAGCCCCACAGAATCAAGAATAAAACAGTGTCAGAGAGAGGGATTTAAAGAATAAAACTAACAGAAAACGAAGAAAACTATAGTCTTTGAAGTTATTTCCGTTTAACTTGATTCTGTTGACATAATTTCTAGTTCTGCCCACCAAAGAGGTGATGATTTTGGTGTTGCTCCATCAGGTCCCATAGCTGTGATCTCTTTCAACCTAGCTGTAACCTCTCTCATTGTTGGTCTCTGTTTTGGATCAGGATGGATACAATCTTTCACCACATCAAACAGTTCAGTTAGCTCTTCATCTTGGAAAGATGTTAAAGTTGGGTCAACCCTTTCCCTTGAAAGCTGTTGTTCCTCCCTCAAGTAGTCTGATGTCCAGTCTACCACAGAGCCATTATCCGAAGAATATGGAAGTCTGCCCGTAATAATTTCAAACAAAACTACCCCAAAGCTGTAAACATTGCTCTCTGGATTCACTGATGGTGTCTCCAACAGATCCATGGTAGCTGAACCATTCTTGGTGGTGGTTACTTCATTCCAGTAGCTGAAATCTGACATCTTGGCTGCGTAGTCCTCAGTCAGATAAACAGAAGAAGATTGCAGGTCTCTGTGGACTATCCGTGGGTTAAGCTGGTGCAAATACTCAAGGCAGTATGCTATACCCATGGCTACTCGCAGTCGCGATCCCCAGTCTAGGTGCTCGGCTTCTTTTACTGCAAGACATCAAGAATTCAAGACAACCAAACCCCGAATATGTAGATTTGCAGGGGAAAAAAAATCTTCGAATGAGGAACAATGTGTATCTCCCACTGATGGTGCAGCTTGGCCAATTATGTTACACCATCTCAGGCATAACAAGACATGCAGGTGAATTCAGAACACAAATTTCCCTATCGGGACACACCAACAAAAATAAGATATATATACATACATATCTAGTCAAACATGCGGAACGAATTATCTAACATGCAAATGCCTCTAAAAAGTGCAGACAATTGCATATTCCATACTGTCAGTGTCAACTTCAAACGCAGGCAATAGCAGAACACTGTAAGTGAAAACAAATTGGCCATAAATGTTGCTGTAGGATGTTTAAGAATTGAAGCTACGGCCAGATAGAATTAGTTTATACTTTATCGAAAAAATGCCAGTATCAGACTCAATGTCCCATAAGCTTGGGTGCTACAGTTATTTGGATGTCAATCAGAGGACAGAACTATAGCACGGTCCTAGCACATGTATTCCAGTTCTTTTACATGTGTGCAATAGAAGGATACACATATCCCAAGCATCCCCTTTCATTTACTTTTCAGTGTATGTGTAATTGACCGTGGCGGTCTAAAGTACAAAGCAATCCAGGAACTCACTGTGTAGATGCTCAAACAGAGTTCCGTTCGGAGCATACTCAAAAACCATCATTCTTGTGAAAGGCTGCTCCTCTTCGCAATGACCAATAAGATTCACAAAGTTCTTGTGGTTCACTTTTGATAAAGTTTCTATCTGAAGATGACCATAAGAAACTTTTTAAGTTATTGGCAGACTGACTGAAAGATTAAAACGACTTTGGTGTATTTGTATTTCACGCACCTTATTTCCGAATTGGGCTTCTAAATTCTTTGTCCAGTCTTCGGCTGATTTCACGGCTGTTGATGTCACCGCTATCTCAACACCACTAGATAGAGTCCCTTTGTACACGGTGCAATCTGATAAAGAGGTAATTATATTACTGAAATCTTCACAAGCTGTTTCAAGTTCGGATCTCTGGAGCTTTGGTACACCTGTGCAGACTCTTTGTTACAAATATGCTTGTGAACACACATGAAAGCATACATTAAAGCATTAATTGAAGGTATGCTTCCAACATTATGACAACTGGAAGATTACAATCTGGACCACAAATACAGGGTTTTAGAACTCATTGTCCAAGCTATGTTTCCATGTAATTTAATTAAAAGAATGGAAACCAAGATGATAGAGGTATCTTTGCAGCAGTTCAACACAGAGGCAGTAAGAACTTCCCCAAAGAATCAATAGTTCCAGGCTATCACCATTCATCAAGGTGAAATGATCGAGGGTCTGTACACAAAGGAGTGTTTGGTTCGATCCAACTGCTTCTCAGTGGTGCATGCATCTACGCAAATATGAAGCTGTCGCTTTTCGCCATTGAGGAGCCATAAATTCTCTCAAATAGAAAATGTGAGTTCATGGAAATAAAGAAATACCTGTGACAAATGCTTTCTGCAGCTGCCCACTTAACCCGGTCGACCAAGGTTTGATAGTAACCAGTTTGCTGCTGCAACAGAAGATAAAGCCAAGGGCTGAAACAAATATCAAAACAGAAACCACTACTCCAGACCATATCAAAACTATATTGTGGTTCGACTTTGAATTCTTTTCTACACTTTGGTTAGGAGTTGAAGAAGGGGGTGGTGATAGAGCAGTATGGGAATCAGGTAATTGAGAAACAACTGGCAGATCTGCTGGAGGTGGTGGAGCTGGAGTTGGTGGTTGCACTGGTGAGGGTGAAGGAGTCAAAAAATCAGGCAAAGGAAATGGAGACTCTGTTGGAGATGGTGTAGACATGGATGGAGGGAATGATATAGATGAGAATGGAGTTCCTGAAGGTGATAATGAAGGAAAAACGAATGATGGTGATGGTGATGGTGAAGGTGATGGTGATGGTGATGGGGATGGTGATGGTGATGGTGACAACAACAAAGCAGATGATGACAATGACTCAGAAGCCCTCTCATTGTGTCTATTCCGTTCAGTTTTGGTTGGTGCATCAGCCAGCTGAAGCAGCTTCCGCTGAGCTATATCCCCAGCTTGCACAGTGTTCCTGAAAATGGTCATCAAGAAGTTATTTCAGAATAATTTGATAGATGATACTGCCATATATCAGCTTAACAAAGAAACTGGAAATTTTCTTTTGTTTTTTTTAAGCTGGAAAGAGAACAAGGAAACCCCAAATGATAACTACATTTTCTCCTCTTTTCCTTTCTCTTATTTTCTTTTTATACACTTTTTAACTCAACGTTTTTTTGATAGTTTCTGCATAAAGATTGAATCAACCAGCCCTGAATATCACCAATAATTCCACCGAATATTCATGCACTTTTTCCAGTAGTAGTACCCTTCCAACTATACAGAGCTTCTTCTTCTCTTACTACTAAACTTTGTTCCCACTCTTCACCATCTGTTCTTTACCTTGACTTGGTCTTCCCCAGGTGTTAGCTCCACTATAGTCTCTCTCTCTCCCCCCCCCCCTCAACAACAACAAACTCTTTCTTTTCCCCAGGAACATAGTTCAAAGTATCGATCGATACCAATACGAGTCGGCCGAGTTGTATCCGGCTCGGTTCCTTCTGAGAGGATACCATTACACGATAAGTATAAACCTCGAGTCTCGCACGACTCGTCTGCATTGTCCGAGTTATATTCAAGTTAATCTCGAGTTGTTAAAATATCGTCACTAAATCGGCCGATACGATTTCACGATGCCACGGTATAACCTGAATCTCTAGTCATGTTCAACATTTTAGTTTAGATCGTATCGCCCGATACCGAGCCGCGATGCCGCGACCGATGTGTCTTAAAGCTTTCCGAGTCGATGGTCAATACCGCGACTTTGAACCATGCCCAGGAACCCTCTGTAACTTATAATGGTATACACTAGTAGTTTCTGACATACAATTTCAGTAAAGAGTAAAAATTTAATGTTCTTTCAAACAGATTGAAGATTTTATTTACACAAACTACTCTCATAAGAATTCTGCCTTTGAAATTAATTCTGTAAGCATTATGCCTTCATGCGTTCATAAGCCAGTTCCATTTTGTTTAGTTGTACATTCCCACAGATTTCAGTTACAAGTTGCATTATAGAAACCAAAACCACCACAACCATTCCAAAAAAAGGGAGAGAGGGAGGAGGGATTTCTATCAGAATAAGGGAGAGGTGCCAGAAAAGGACTTGATATCTATCACTCTTACCAAGAACTAGATAAGCTGTTATAAGTAGCCCCAGACGGTACAATAGATAGCTGTTTTTCACCTACTTGCAATTCAGAAAGCATCTTAAGACTATAAAGCTCAGAAGATATGCCATCCAAGAACTGATTATTATCCAGCAAACTGCAATAAACAAGAAGAAGATAGAGTCAGCACAAGTTTAGGTGATACAGTGAACACAAAAGTTTTGACCCTTGAGAGAATTAACTCACACAACTGACAAGGAGAGGTTACTGCAAAGATCAGAGGGAAATGGCCCACTGAAGTTATTGTATCCAAAGTCCAACAGTTCAAGCTCCTTCAATTCTCCAATTTCCTTTGGAATGTTTCCAGAAAAAGAATTGTTTCGTAAAATACTGCACTCCAGGATCAAAACAACGCATCAACACAATAAATAACAAAAGTAATTGGGACCATGACTTGGATACATAACTTCTTACATTGATTTCATGTAAGTCAGCTTCCCGATCTCAGGTGCCAGTGTTCCTTTAAGACAAAGATCTTTCAAATTCCTGCAATATGAATCAAACAAACATCAAGGCAACTTAAAAATGTGGCAGTACGTCAACTTGCATGAATCATTCAATAGTGCCAAAATGAAAGGATTCCCCAGGCCATCATTAGGTTACTAGTATCCAACTGTAATGGGATCATCATGCATACACCATTCAACCATTTGCTTGTGCCATCTTCAAGAATAACTAGCATGTCAGGTAGTTCCCTCCCATTTAAGAATGTTTGTGATTAAGCTACAAAATTAATATCCAGGCTTAACCATTTATAAGTCAGACAAAGTCATTGCATCATAACAAGCGACCTATGTACAGGGCAACTAAAGTTCAGATCACAAGAACAGCTTAACCTGTTACAGTCTCATAGCATCCAAAAAAGGTACTCAAACTAATGTATGCAAGAGATAAAAAAAAAAAAAAAACCAATGCATGCAAGAGATTCGTGCTCTCTAAACTTCATCGGCAACTCCAGGAGACTCTTAAGATAAATAATTGGAGCTCATAATTTCCTACAATATATTAAGGCTCCCTCATTAATAATAGTGGGCATAAGACTAGAAGAGACACTTCTGTTTTTTCCTATTGACCTGTATCATAAAAAACACTTAGATAGGATCAAAGCAACACACGTCTCAACTCTCATGTCTAATGTCCCCTAATTCTAATTGATTTCGAAGTTGTGCTTTACTTTTGACGAAGTAGTATAACCAAATAGAAGTCAAAATACTAGCAATCTCATCAAAACTCAAACCCTAAGCAATCAATAAATACCATTATGTATTTATACACTAATCAGAACATAATTACAGGAGATGCTTCATCCTTGAGTGATGAACAGGATTAAAGCTGAGATGTGTTGTACCCAGGTTGTCACACAAGAGTGTAGATGGTTGAGTTAGTGTAAACTTCATTTCTTGGAATAGGGACAGTAGCCACATGGATTCTGCAGCAGCCGTTGCTAATGCCCTATACTCAGCTTCGGTTGAGGACCGGGCAATGGCACGTTGCTTTTTGGAGCTCCATGAAATGGGAGTGTGACCAAGGAAGAGGAGATAAGCTGAAGTTGATTTCCAATCATCCAAACTACCAGTCCAATCAGCATCCGAGAAACATGTACGTGCTGGACTAGATGTTTTTCTAATATTGATGCCATGAAAAATGGTGTTCTTCAAGTAACGCAGCAATCTTTTAGTGGCTGTCCAGTGGGTCTGTGTGGGGCTATGCATAAACTGTGAGAGTTTATTCACTGCAAAGCTTATATCAGGATGAGTTAAGGACAAGTATTGCAATGCTCCAATCACTCTACGATATTCGGTGGAGTCAACTGATGAAGAACCATCTGCCAGATTTAGAGAGACCGAGGTAGAGAGAAGAGTTGTGACATCCTTAGCTCCATCCATACTTGTTTTAGCTAGTATATCTCGAATATACTTATGCTAAGTTAGAAACAAGCCCTCTTTGGTAGGAATGACCTCAACACCGAGGAAGAAATGTAAGGGCCCCAAATCTTTGAGTGAGAATTTCTGCCCAAGTTGATCAACAATGCTTGCAACAAATGTCGAATTGTTACCGGTGAGAATCAAATCATTAACATAAACTAAGCAATAGGCAAGTATGGAACCATCATGAAACACAAACAGAGAAGAGTCAGAATTAGTATTGATGAAACCAAATTCAAACAGCGCCTATTTGAGAGCAGAAAACCAAGCACGAGGTGCTTGTTTGAGCCCATATATTGCCTTTGTAAGACAGCAAACGTGATTTGGTTGTTCCGGACTCCTGAAGCCAGGTGGTTGTTTCATATACACCTTTTTAGTGAGATGCCCATGAAGGAAGGCATTATTGACATCTAATTGCCTTAGAGACCAGCTATACATAACAACAAGAGTTAAGACAGTGCGAATGGTGACTGATTTTACTACAGGACTGAATGTCTCTTTATAGTCAAGGCCTGGTCTCTGATTGAACCCTTTGGCCACGAGTCTGGCCTTGAATCGATCAATAGAGCCATCAGCATGCCTCTTAATCCGAAACACCCACTTACAGCCAACAATATTACAATCAGTCGAAGGTGGTACTAGTTGCCATGTATTGTGACGCATTAATGCAGTCAATTCAGAGGACATGGCATCACGCCATCTAGAATTAGTGAGAGCTTCAGTAACACTTGTGGGTTCCAAGGAGGGTGGAAGAGGGTGCTTAGTGACTACAAAGGAGTTTTTGGGCTTATAGATATTATTCATGGATCGGGTTGTTATTCTGTGAGGACAAACTGCATTATTTTGAGGGACAGCAGGTTCTGGCATTTCTAATGAAGAAATTTGGCTCAAAATCAAGGAAGGAGAAGAGAGGGTACTTTCCTGGAGAGGAGGCGGTGCAGGGGATGACCCATTCGCAAACGACAGTGAGAGGACAACACCCACTTTCGGAGATTCAGTATTTCCAAGTGGAGCCAGGAGAACTTGTGGCAATGAGATCGTAACAGAAGAGTCTTGGGGGGCTGGGGAATTTGAGATGGGCACGGGACTGTTAGGGTTTGATTTTTGAAAGGGAAATGCCCTTCGTGGAAGATGACATGCTGAGAGTGAAAAATCCTGCGGGTATTAGGCTCAAGGCAAAGATATGCATTTTGGGAGAGAGAGTAACCCACAAATGTGCATGGTTGGGCCTTGGGCTCAAGTTTGTGTTTGTTATAGGGCTTAGTTAATGGATAACATAGACAACCAAATTGTTTGAGCTTAAGATAGTTGGGGATTTGTTTGAACAATTTTTCAAATGGTGATTGATTGTTCAAAGTCGAGGTGGGCATTCTATTTATGAGATAGGCAGCAGTTTGAAACGCATATGGCCAATATGAGAAAGGCATGTGAGCATCTGTGAGGAAGGTGAGACCAGTCTCAACAAGATGGCGATGTCGTCGTTCAGACATACCATTTTGTTGTGGAGTTTTTGGAGCGGTGGTGTAATGACTAATCCCATGGACAAAAAAATAATATTTGAGGGCAATATATTCCCCACCATTATCGGAATAAAGACTCTTTATTCTTGAGTTAAACGTATTTTCCACAAGATTTTAGAATTGTGGAAAAATTGTTGCAACATTAAATGTATTTGGTATAGTGGTCAACAAAAATAACATAATATTTGGAGCCATCAATGCCAATTTCATGAGAGGGGCCCCAAACATCCGTGTAAAGCAATTCTATGGGAGCGGTGCTAGTGAGACCATGAGTATTAAATGGTTGGCGATGAGCTTTATTTTGAAAACATGAAGTACAAAGAGATAAATTGCCATTCTTATTAGTGGGTAAAGAAAAAGCATGAATTAAATGATGGACCAATTTTGACGATGGATGACCAAGTCTTTTATGCCATCCATCAAGGGTAGTACGTTCATGAACATAAACAACAGCATGTTTGGAGTTTGGTGGTAGATGCTCCGAAAATGGGCACACTCCATCTTCACGTTCGCCTTTGAGTAGTGTCGCCCCCGTGATCCGATCCTTCACCAAAAAATAAGTAGGATGGAATTCAAGATAAACATTATTATGCTTGGTAAAGTGGTGAACAAAAATAAGATTTTTTTGAATGGTTGGAACACACAGGGTATCATGTAAATGAAAGACATGATTAGACGATGCAAGAGATAGGAAACCAATATGAGATACGGGCAAACCTGATCCATCACCAATTACCACCTCATCAATACCATCATATTCAGAATTAATGGATAGGTTAGAAAGCTTGGTGGTCATGTTGTGAGATGCCGCCGAGTCAACTAGCCACTTGTGATTTTTTTTGTGAGAGGATGCTGCACAATTGGTGGTGAAGTCAGTTGAGGACATTTTTGGACAATTTTTGGCCGTATGGCCCATTTGATCACACCATTGACACTTGGGCCTATATTTCCTCTAGCCCGAATATGAGGGCCCATTTTTGTGATGCCCATTGTTGCTGCGAGGCCTGTTGGAGGAAGACTTAGGGCTCGGTTTATGCTGTCCAGGGGCACCTCCGTGTCGATGAGAGTAATTGTCAGTGGGAACAAATGTTGCTGTTGATTGATTCTCCAGCCGGCGAAGGTAACTCTCATGACCTACAAGAAGATCATGGATTTCCTCAAATTTCAGAGAGGTCTCACGAGCACGAATGGGTGCCACAATTTCTCTAAATTCAGGACCCAATCCATTTAGAATGCAGAGGGTTAAATCATCATCCGAAACCGGATGATCAATGATGGCAAGTTCGTTGGCAATCACTTTGATTGCTCGAAGAAACTCAGTAACGATGCAATTTCCTCGGGTGCTTAAGGTCAAGTCTTCCTTGAGTTGCATTGCGCGCGTCCGCGATTTTCCTGCATATAAACGGGTAAGTGCTGTCCAAGCCTCATGTGATGTTTTGTAGGCAGCAAGGAGTGGGGTAATAATGGTTGAGGTGGAGGCAAGAATGGCATGGAGGATGAGTTTATCTTGACGAATCCAGTGGAATTTTGCAGATTTGGAGGCAGCGGAGGGCGTTTCATCAATGGCAAGGCATTTTTTAACACCAGTGACAAAGTCAATGAGGTCATAACCAATGAGTAGTGCTTTAAATTGAACCCTCCACTGAGGAAAGGTAGAAAGGGTGAGTTTCTCATTGATGGTGGTTGCGGCATTGATGGTGATGATGGGTGAATCAGTGGTGGAGGTAGGGATGGCAGCCATGTTGCAGGAAGCAAGAAAGGAAAACAACTCGTTAGAGGTCTGGCACTCTGATACCATATAAAGGATTACACTGTTATGGTTTTGTTGCTTGAACTCACAAAAATTCTATTCATGTTTTGTATCTTTTTATACAACCAGAGAGGCCTAATGTATGTAACTGAAAAGGAAATTTACAATCACAATTGACATCAATATTTACAGCAATAAACAGTTGATCCTAAAATCATGGTAGGCATAAAATCTGGTGATGTTAATGGTGACAGCTAGGCTTGAGTTGGCACTTGTTTGACTTCTTCAGTTTCCTTGATAAACTAAACATACATGAACACACATATATTACCATATAAATATCCATGTACTCTTTGAATTGCATTCTATCTCTACAAATGTTTTTAAAATCAGGATCCCATCTTGGATCGATGGGAGAGGTTACAAGATTGGGATCGTAGGATCGGATTGAGAATCATAAGATCTTATCAACTGAAAAAATGAGACGAAAAATAGATGTGACAATACAAAATTCTCAAAAACAAGACATAAGCATGCCTAATATCTATGCAAATAGGAGATCAAACTTAAGGTATGATTGAAATTTGATAAACTACAATTTGAACATTAAAGAATGTTTAAGATCAAAGATGGACATTAATCTTGTAAGGTTGTGCAAAGAGGAATAAAAGAATTCAAGTATTTTTATCTTAACTTTCAGAGAGAAGAGATAAAGAGTTTAAAGTTAAAAAACTATTGAATAATAACTTTTGGCTATTCGACATTCAAACAAACAAAACATAAAGAAAAAAAATAAAAGACCATCTGGCTGTGATAACTCACATGAGAGAAGATTAAATTTAAACACTGCTTTTAACTTTTCAGCAAGAGAGCCGAATGAAAAAAGAGACATTTCAAGAAAATAAACTTCCTATAGCTTTTTTCATCGTTTGAAATTTCCCAATAGACTATATAATGTATTCACATTTGTATTGAGTACTTAACTTTAAAAACCGAAAAGTATAGATTGATTTCACAGTAACTAAATACACCTACCAAACAAACTCAACAACTTGTATCGGTAAAGTCACAGTTCAGATCGTGATCCTAAGATCTATAAGATTCAAATCGCGATTTATTAAGATCATACTAAATTGGGACCCAACATGAGACTCGACGGATCGAAATTTTGATAACCATGATCTCTACACTTTCATTTTGTGAACCCCATATAAATATTTATGTATAAATGCGCACAAAAATTCAACCCAACAACGAAAAATAATCAATTTAGCAAAACAATCACTCACAAAACTACTACTTTTCCGTCCAAGCATTCTACTCCGAGCCAAGAACATGGATCCAAGTTCCCATTAACATAATCCCAGTTTGATAGAGCATCAAATGGATCTCTAATCACTCTATCTCGAAACCTCAACAACGTCAACCCTGCATTCAATTTAATACACTTCACAAAACCACCAAAAAAGAAGAAGAATGATAATCACATTTCCTCAAATTGCCAAACAAGGCCTCAAATTTGAAAGGCAATGAAAAATTAACGTCGTACCTTCGCTGTTGAGAGAACAACAGAGACTCGGACTGTCATGGACCACAAGCAACACCGCCAAGATCAAAGCAACACGAAGCTTTAACAGATTCCATCCCCAGAGTACACCCATTTCATCAAACGAATATTTCAACAAAAAAAAATGTCTCTATAGTTCAATCAAACTTGTTTCAGTCGAGCTTTGATCATATATACACAGAAATATAAACATATATTGAAAGGTGCCGGAGAGAAAGAGAGTATAAAGATCAAAAAGGCGTATACACACATACACACACGCTGTCTCTGCAATTGCTAGCTGGAAGAGGTAAGAAGAAAAACGCGTCAAATCGGTGATTACTTGAATTTTATATAGTTCGAGTAAGAAAAATAGCACAGAACATACCGACACAAAGAGTAAAAACAAAAAACTATTGATTTAGCTCAGCGACATAAAAGAAAACAACTGATTTAGCAGAGCGAACTGACGATGAATCGCTTCAAATGTTATTTGAAATTTAGCGGAGATTTATGACGTTGAATTTCGAAGTTTCTTTGCGACCGGCGAAGCTCTGTATCTGTTTGATATCTCTCCTCGCTGAGACTCGTTATAATGGCGCCGCCCTACGCCATGTGCTTTCTCGCGTGCCAGTTTTTCCATTTTTGTTTGCTGCCCTTTGTTTTGGGGCTTATTGTCATTATTGTCTTACCCAAAAGTGCGTGATTTTGGTTGATGATAGATATACTCGGAAATTTAATTACAGTACAGACAGAGAATTAAAGTTTCTAGGTCGTACATTACATGCCATTTTTTAATTCATACATAATATTTGAACTTAGATTTTAGTCACTAATTTTATTTTTTTTTGAAACTTAGATTTTAATCACTAATTAATGCACTTATTTTTTCATTATCATATCACGTGTTTATTTATCATTTTCTTTATTTTATTTGATAATACATAATTTTGAGTCTAATGCTCCGTTTGGTAGGGAAGATAAAAAATAGGAAAGATAGAAAATAAGAGAGATACATTTTCTATCCTTCAAGGACGAAAAGTAAGAATAATACAATTTTCTTCTTATACACTTTCTTTCTTTTGTGTTTCATTGGATGGATGGAAAATAAAAATGAAGGGATGACAATAGAGTCAAGTCTTGTCATGTCAGATTCGTGTTGAATCATTACGAGTTTGTGACGAATATTAGTCAAATCTAACTTAACTCATTTAACTAATTGTGTCGTATCGAGTTGCGAGTTAACCTATTTATTTTCGTATCAAGTTCGAGTCATGTCATCGTGTTAAATTAAAATTTTTCCCTCTTAGTTAAGATGAAAAAAATATTTTTTTTAACTTAAAATTTTTATTTTTTTATTTTTTTATTTTTTTTTTTAAAAAATATATATACATATTTTACCATTATATTTTTATATGAAATTAAAATATACATAAGATATATAGACAAATAAGATACATTTCAACACAAATAATTAACTTTCCATCTACTTTTCTTCCGATTTTTGACGGATCGATTTTGGTGAGTTGGAAGGAAAGTTAATTCATCCACTTTTCCATCCTTCCTACTTTCCTTCCTTACCAAACATAATATTTTATTTATTCCTCCAACTTTCCATCTTTCTAACTTTTATCCTCCCACTTTTCTGTCATACCAAATGAAACATAAAATATCAAGCATTGTGAACCATCGACTACAACCAAGTGGTCAAGACTATGTCCACCCCAGGCTGAGGAATGAGGAGTTGACATGAGATCGGACCACATCCACAGCATATATTTGTGCTCTCTCAATTGTAAATATTATTTTGTCTTTTGTTTTTTTAAAGAAAGAAAAAAATGGAAATCTCACTCACACCTTTGGTATTAATGTATGATTTTTTCTACCCTTGTTGCCGTTTTTTGATTGGTCTATTTAAGCACACAATCCAAGAATCTGACCTTCTAAGACAAGGAATCGTTCCACGTTGTGTTGTCCCTAACAAATTGCATGGCCAGAAGGACCTTGAATAGGTCTTGACCATTCTAATCCTAATCATAATCAGACATAGAATAATCAGATACGAGCCTGCACAACATAATCCATTAACATATGGAAAGCAATAACTGGTCCAAGTATTATTCTAATACTGCTTTTTGTACAATATTTGCAAGCTTGCATTAACACAAAATTGGTGTTTCTCATTTGTATGTTTCATAATTGTTATTTTGGGCCCGTCCAAAGGATCAAAAGGAGAAGAAAAGTAATCGGTGCATCTGTTTGGCTGTCATTATTAAAGGTGAGAATGAGTAAGAAATTATTGGTGAGCATTTGCGATGGATATCCAAGAATCATATGATGGTCTTAACTAAAAATCCTAAAAATCTCTTTTTATGATTGAAAATCGTATAAACTAATTATTTTTTGAACTCTTGCTTCTCATTTAACTTTTGAATGCAAGAAATCACTCATAAATTATGTTTATTGAGTCAATCTAATCATTTCTTAAGAGTTATTAGTCGTTGAAATCTTATCCATCAAGCTACTCTAACAAGCTCATGAACTATTTTTATTTGATTTAATACAGGCCAAGACATCTATACTATACTAATAAGATACAACTTAATTTAAATCTTTTTTGACTTTAAAATTGAATTCAATTTTAATTCATTTGGAAAAACACAAAGACGACTCAAATTAAATACACTTTTAATTCAAAGGCCCACATTTCATTTCACTTCTTCCATTTCAATCCAATGGCTTGCAATGCATCTCAACTCAAAAAATAATCCCGCCCATTAAAGCTACACCCACACGGCACCCAAGCAACCCAATTCAAACACTCTCATTTTCTCTCTCTCAATCTCTCACCTCTCGTTCTTCTATAGAAGAAGACCCAACTCAGGCCCCTCACTCTTCAAGTACCTCTATTTCTCTCAGGACTCAATCGAACACACACATACACACATAGATACACACCCACACTTACATCGCACTCACCCCACCCACCCACCTATACACACACACACAGAGTAGTAGCAGCAACAACACACACATAGATACAACATCACACACAACATTGGGTGTTTTATATTGGTTTGATATTTTTGGGTATTTTGCGCGCACACACACACACACACAAAGCAGTAGCAGCAATAGTAGACACACAACTTGGGTGTTTTGTATTGGTTTGATATTTTTGGGTATTTTGCACACACACACACACAAAGCAATAGCAGCAATAACAGACACACAACAACACACACAACTTGGGTGTTTTGTATTGATTTGATATTTTTGGGTATTTTGCACACACACACAGAGCAGTAGTAGCAATACTAGACACATAGCAGCACATACAACATTGAGTGTTTTATATTGGTTTGATATTTTTGGGTATTTTGTAACTTTTCAATGAATTTTCTCATATTGGGTGTTAATTTGGGTGTTTTCTTATTATAGTTTGATGAGTTGTTAATGGTATTTAATTTTTCTTTGTTAGGGTTTTGTAGTTGTTAATGGTATTTGATTTAATGTTGTTAAGTTCATTTGATTACGATTGGGCTTTAATTTCATTTTTTCAATTTTTTATGAAATTGGATGTTAAGGTTTGTGATGTTAACTTCATTATTTTCAAATTTGATTTTAATTTTATAACATGGAGTTGGAATTTAGGTTTGCACTTGACCGTTGGAGCTTTAAAATTTTTGAGTTTCATAATATTAGACATGGAGTTGGAATGGAATTTTATAACATGGAGTTCGAATTTAGGTTTGCAATTTTACCGTTGGAGCTATAATATTTTTGGGTATTTTGTAACTTTGCAATAACTGTTAAGGAATCTATATATGCGTCTTTGTTGAGTTTCATAATATTAGACGGCCGGTGATTTCTATTGTGGGTGGTAATCGTTGGCGAAAACTATGAAAAAATTGATCACATTTTTTGAGGTTGCTAAAGCATGTTTTTTGTTCTCAAGTGCAATTATGTGTGGATTATGATTATGATTATAATAATGATTGGATTATGTAATTAGTAATTTGTTAATTTTTTGTTCTCTATGTGGAAAAGTTGTATGCTCTAACTCCTCCATATTTTCCTAAATAATGTCCTACCATACAAATGTGTGTGTGTTCTTCATTATTTTTTTTGGATAATTTAGGATAATGGGATTGATGACAATAATTCTTCCATTTAGTTGATCTCTAGATTAATTATTCTATTTAGTTGATCTAAAGATTAATTCTTTCATTTAGTTGATCTATAGATTAATTCTTCCATTTACAATGCCTTTATATTCCTTTTTACATATGCATTTTTTTAATGCTACATTTTCAGTTTGTTTGTGGGACATTGTTCTATAGGACTTGAAGTTGTCATTATGATATCTCCTATTCTTGTTTGACTCCTCCCTTGAACCCTCACTTTTTTTTTACTGGTAGAATTACCTTCATCACACTTAAACCCAGTATTGTCTTCTAACCATAATCGAATTTTATGAATTTTAAATACTTCATATTGATCACATTAAACCTTGAATCACGTTGTCGAAAACTTAACTTAACATGAGAATACGGAATCTGTTGATTTTTTTGTCGTGACCTTTACATTTGATTTTAGTTATAGTAAATTATATTATTTGTTGCATAGTTTTGGTTTTTTAAGTAACTTAATACTGAAAAGAGGATAACTCTTCATTTGGCAAATCTTTATGTGGAGCTATTTTAGGTTCATGTGGGTGTTGTTGATATTGTGCGAAATGTTATGGAATCGGAACAAAACTAGATCTTAAACTATCATAGAAATCTTGATTTTTTTTGGTCTCTTTTTGTTATTATGCTATAAATGTTATTTTGGGTATGAAATTATGTTTTTTATGGTAGTTGGGTATGTATTGATGATTGTGGTGGTATGGTGTATTATGATCATTGTTATGTATGATTGTAAATTCTGTAGATAGGTTTATATTTTTTTGAACTTTTTATTTTAGAGAAAATTTTGCCAAAATTTCTAGAAAATAGTAGAGGGTATCTTGATTGCAATTTCTTATATTAAAGCAAATGAAGTAAAAATTATTTCAAATTGATGGTTTGTTTTAGGTTGCAAAGTGCCTTTAGGTAATGTAATATATTTCGA